CATGCTTAGGGCCTATAAAAGCCATTTACAGCAATTCCAGCCGGTTCCCCGAAATGAGTACAAAATCTCATTTTTTTAGACCCAGCTGATGGACTAAAGCCCCTGCATGTACAAAACGTGGGTTATTTTACTTAGTATAATTTTTTACCGTACTTTGCTGTCATTCATTTATTCAACTTTATGTATTTTCGGTGGTAATTGCATTAATAACACTCAAATACGTGATCAGAATAAATTGAAATCGAACACAAACAAAACGTAGATTATTTTACTTGCTGTACCACGTCAGTTGCAACATATGTTCACTATTGCTTTTCTTTCCTAACATCCAGTAATAATTTGCGTATTTTGAGAGGTGTTGAGTCCATTAAGGAGACTCAAATGTGGGTGCATCAGAATAAACTCAAATTGAAAACAGAGATAAGCGTGTTTATTACATTTGGTGGACTATATTAGCTGCAGCATATGTCAAGTAGCTCTTTGGATTTAGTGGGTTAATTTTTCACAGATTATTGCAATACGAAGAACGTTTTTTTTAATATTAAATGTTGGAGTATTCAGTGGTTGGAATACGAGAGTAAATGTAGCGTAAGAATGATATTGTCCATATTTCAAACTCTGACATCACGTAGGTATGTGATAATAAAATTACGTCATAAATATGGAATTTGTGTGCCGTCGTGTATGTGTAGCGTTAAAATGAAAATGTCCATTTTTCAAATTCGCAACATCAAGAAGGCATGTAATAATACAATTACGTCATAAATATGGAATTTATGTGCCGTCGTGTGTGTGTAGCGTTAAAATGAAATTGTCTACTTTTCAAATTCACGACATCAAGAAGGCATGTAATAATAGAAATTACGTCATAAATATGGAATTTATGTGCCATCGTGTATGTGAAATTTGTTCACATGCGCATGGGTGTATTGTATCTTTCAATAAGCTAAGCTTATTTCGAATGCTTGCACTAATCTAATCACTATTACGATTTGAGATATGCAACTAATGGGTATTCAACGGAAGATTTTACAGCTCTGTATATGTTACAAAATATACAAAAATAATAATAAAATAAAAATAAAATAATATTGCACTGTGGTTTCACAAAGAAATGTTTTGAATTAACACCCACTCGAATTTCAAAAGGCGCGTCCCTGATCTGGAGTTCCACTTATGCATACAGAGCGATACAGTTCTAAATGCTCGCTGGAGTGTTTTGATTGAATATTTGATTTCTTAGCTTAATTATTAACTTCCCGCCATGTTTCGATCGAGACAAACGACGGAACACTCGCAAACAGGTACGTACATAAACGAGCCCTATACCCCGTTATAGCCAGGTATATAGGTGTATGATATCACCTATTGCAGTGTACAGATTTGTATTGTTGTATATTGCACTGTGAAATATACAACATGAACTGGTATATTGCGAGTGAGCTGTGAGCTGCAATGTGTACATACAGTGACGTCAACAAAGGTGTAGCAGTCACATGTCTATTGCATGTACGGGCCTCGCAAATATATTTCTTTTATTTTAAGACCACCAGTGATCCTAATTATGGACGTTCATTCTAAATATTCCACACTTATACAACTCTATTGGGGTCTTATATGGGGTGCCATGTCGCCCGACGGTGTGGGAATCGAATTCGGCTTTATTGCGGCGCAAGGACACGGTTACACTGGACACCAAGCGTGTAGTGGCTACGAATGTTCTTTCATGTCTAGGTTATTATGTACGTGTCGCATCATGGAAACAGACGGTATTTAGACTTTGTACCGTAGTATAACACCTATTTTCTAATCAATATAATTGCTGAAAGGGGTAATAATCCGACAACTTTTCGACGTAGTACCGCGTGGAACGTCCTTCTTCAAATGACGTCACCGCCCAAAACTTGGCTGGAAAATTGAACTTGAAATGACCCACTCTCTCAATACTTAAAATAAAGAATACAACGCGGACTTCTTTCTAACACAAAATCGTGTTTAATTTGTATTGTTTATAATTTGCACGTAGTTCCCACTGTCTTGTTTCTCTGATTCCACTCAACAAGTGGCTACCAGCGTTCACTTCGTTGGCGAAATAGAAGAGCGCCACCATGAGTCAAGGATCGTGTAAAAAGTGGGTAAAGTTCGTGCTGTTTGTGTTACTAGCAGTGTCATTGGTGTGTTTGGTAAGTTGACGTGAACATATATTAATTTATAATAACTGCATGCACGTGGTTGTGTAGTAGATACTTTGAAAAGCATTCTACCGTAATACAATTTACACGAAACAGATAATTTGGATACAATTCTGCATTTTATTTAAAGTGGAAAGCAGTAATGTTTTAGTAGTTTTTGAGTATGTTTACAGAATTGCGTTGGATGTAGCATCTTGAAAGGAACAATAAAGTATTGTTTATCATTAACTACTGTTATTTGTCACCAACATAGCAGTAATGTGCATGCATCTTGGAATTACCAAAACGTAAGCTAATTAAAACGAATACTGCACAGTGTGAAGCACAGGGAGTATCTTATATGATAAATCAGAACTCCATGTATTTATCAAAATACTTCAATTTATCGAGATTGGGTCTTCAATTCTGCGTTGTTGTTTTGGTAGCGGCAGAGTGAGATTAGGTTGACAGATCAGCGAAATGTACAAAATGTTCGTCAAATTAAACAATATATCAATGACTATGCTCCATTTTCGCCCAAACAGGTACGGGAGATAAGTATCATCGACGACAAACCTAGTATTGTGCAACAAGTTGATAAGTTTTCAACGTCAATAAATTCGCATGGCAGAGCGAAATTGATGACGAGACCAAATCAGAATTCAGAAAGTCAATCATTAATAGCCACAAACCCAGGTGAATTCGAGACGACTACCTTCTCTCTCATAACCGATGACGTCATCGACGTATACAATTTCAGTTACACTTACGAACCGGGGTATATTCCCTTCACTAGTATAAATAATACCAAAGTCGTTGTCATGGAAACCGAAGATAACATACACAAAGGTGACACGCTGCATCTCATACTCACAACCCATGATGCAACGGGGCTACCACGCATGCACGGTGGTGATATGTGGTATGTGGTAATGTACAATGACGTCCAGAAAATGCGCAGCGCCGGTCTAGTTAGGGATCAAGGTAACGGCACGTACATCGTCACGTTTTACGCCGCTTGGAAAGGCTACGCCGCATTCGACATCACCTTGGTACACCCAGCCGAATCGACCAAATGGTTACGCGAGGTGTGGTGGCCAGCTGAACAAAAGCTCAACTGGACGGGCCACTATCGCAAACAGGAAAAGACTGTCCAATCTACGTGTATTCTCGAAACTAATGCAACTGACGGGACGTTTTATAACAAATGCACATACGCAAATGAGCTCGTGCTTGGCAGCACAGCATTTTTGTGTGACAAACCTCCAGAACCTATGACATGTGACTATTTATATTCGAGTAATGTTAATTTTCTATCCATCTTGGAAGGAACGAAAAGATTTCTAAACGGAAGTGACGCCATCTTGTTTAACAAGTACGTACTACATAATACATAGCGTCTAAACATTTAATGTAATTTGTTTGATATTTTATGTTGATTGATATATTGCAATATGAGTGAACTAAACACACTGTTCTTGTAGCACACACAACTGAGTATTTTTGGATAAAATTCTATAATACTAGTACGCATGTGCACTGCTTATTTCGGTACGTACAGCAACAATCATTGCACATGCGTATTAATGTTTTCACTTTTAAACGAACGAATACTATTTAGTGTGCAACATTTTTAGTTTTTGAAATAAATTGTAATATAACTTAGTTTGTCACATACATATTAGGCAACTATATGAAGGAATATTAGTTAGTCCAATTTTCACCTTCGCCAAAGCAAAACTCAGATATATTTCAATTATTAGCATTGTCAATTCTTTTGTTTTTTCGATTGATAAATTTTCAAAATATATAGTTAGGATTTATGTTTGAAAAAACATAACGGTCAACTTGAATTTTGGGAAATGTCCTGTTTCGAGAATATGTTGACAGTATTTAAGTAAGTAAATAAGTAAACTTAATTATGGTTTTATTCCCCAATAGTAACTATACAATGGTGACGAAGACAAAGGTTGCAGCCATTGTTGTGAAAGGTAAGAGCGACTGCCACCAATCTCCTTTCGCTGAAACTTTCTGAATGGTGTTTGATTTTGTTACGTTATATATTGTGCATCAACATCCACATAGTGTTTATGACGATGGTCGAGTCAACCAGAGAATAAAAGGAAAAATGAGACTAAACAATTACACTTTCTCTATTTCAGAAAAATCTGTACAACTGCGACCGCTGCATCTGCCTGAATGCACTGATATCAATCGGGTACGACCACACCAGGTGCACGGGTACTGGATGGGCAACCAATGGAATTCCTTGATTTGTGATATGCGAGTGTGGGAGAGAGCACCACTGCAGGATATTCGAAGATGTTTGCGCAAACGGCATCTAGTGCTTTTGGGGGACTCGGTGAAGCAGTTTTTTGATGCCTTACTCGAGTTATCGGGTTTTTTAAGATCACGAAAAACTAAAACTGTTCATAGCGTTGTTGTTGAAACCGACGACACCACATTCACGTTGGCATCGCCGCCCTGGCCAATCGCCAGTACGCCGATAACGTTTGACGTCACGCGTAATGAGGTAAACGTCATAGAAGGGTTAGATACTGAGAATTGCAATTACGTCATAGTTATCAGCTCATATACGCATTTCTTACAATGGCCACGCGCCAGCTACATCGAGAGAATGAGGCTCGTTCGCGAATCGTTGCTTCGCCTCCGAGAGCGCTGTCCAGAAACAATGATTGTCATCAAAGGTACGAAACCGCGAGAACATTTCGAACCGGACTCCGAAATCCACAGCAGTGATTTCATACTTCTCGAAATGAACAAAGTTCTTAAGGAAATCTACAAAGACATGTATTTTCTTGATGTTTGGGACATGAATTTATCTTTTCCAGCGCCGAACAGATCGTCTATGCCAATTCCATTGATAAGGCAAGAAGTATCCATGTTTCTGTCTCACATTTGTGGCGCGAGTCACAGCGCCCTCCGTCGGACTTGATAGTTATCCTGTATCTCTGACCATTTCAACCGCTTGTGGCGCAATTCGGGACGATTAGGTATACGCACAGGGAGCCCAGGAACTACAATGAACTGTACACAGTCCCTATGAGCGGGGGTATTGGTTGATATCTTGTGTAAGAAATAGACAAGGGATGAAAAAAACAGACAAAAAAATGGAAAATAAAATCTGTAAAAAAGGCCAGGTTAAAGAATATTGGTTGCTCTTTTAAATTTCGCAAAAGCCATACCTATATTTTACCGATAGCTGCAACTAAAATTCTTCAACCTGGTATTTTTCATAGATTTTAATTTTCATTCTGTTCATCTGTTTTTTCCGGTTTAAAATTATGTGCTCACTGGAGCCTTTATCCTTTAGGTATTTCTTACACAAGATACCAGCCGAGACCCCCCCCCCCCCGCTCACAGGGACTGCGTACAGTTGATTTAGTTCTTGTGCTCCCTGTGGTATAAGAGGTATTTGTGCTTACCGCCTTGATCATCCGCCGCCACATTAAAAAAAACTATTGTCAATTTGCAATATACGCGCATATTAAACTATAGTATAACTACCTATGTTATTAAATTAACAATTAACATCAGCGTAAAAAAAATAGACATAGATACCCAGACTGCATCATGAGAGCTGCTTTCTCTTGTTCAATTTCCGGGTAGCCTATATCCGTATATAATTTTGAAGTGGTTTATATTACCTGCAATCAGGCAATGACTTTTCTGTGTTTATTTTTTTTAATATATTTGTGTAGCAGGATATACCACTTGTGTGTTCATGTGCAGTTACTGGCATTGGTTATAGTGTGCGTTTTTTTTTCAATATAAACCCAATCCAGTAAACACTTGATATTTCTCCTAATTTAGTTTTTTTTATCAATTCAAAGATACGAATTCAGAGGTACCAGGATGACTTTTTTGTGTGCTTTCTGAAAATTATGTATATTCTTGTTTAAGAAATGCGAATTGATTGGAAGCGAGTTTAAGTTGGTCACATGTTAATATTCTGGATGGTTTAAGAAGTTGAAACTTGTACAGTGTAGTTAACAATTATGTATCATCAGGAAATATTTGTGTTCTATTCAAGGCATTGTCTGAGATACATACCAACACTGTGGTACAAATAAACCTCATTTTAAACGCTGTACTTCATATTATATATAATGGTATTTACACTTCTTCCAAATTTGTGACCGGCGTGTAACTTTTCAAGTTAGAGCGTCATTTGTAGTATTCCCGTTAGTGATGTATTCATATAGACAAAGACACCTCTTTTTAAGTTGACTATATAGATGGCTTTGTAACATGTACATGATGACACGCTTTGGATGATAATACATTTTACAAATTCTTTCTAAATTGAAATGATCCCCAGAAAACCTTCTACTGAGCCATATTATCATCATAAGGGCTTTTCATTGTCTACAGTTCATAACAAAATTCTGAATGGACTTCAGTGCAGGCAAGCTACAATGTCAGTATTTTTGGGAATTGTTGCAAAAACCAACTGGTTTTATTACGTTTTCTGTTTACATTAATCAGTGACAGATGTTCTGCATCTAGTACAAAATGGGGATGCATTTTATTATTTTTTCACAACAGTGGGTATAATATCATACTTTACCCATAATCCTTTGCTGAGGAATCAAGATGGTGGACTTCATAATATTTCAAAAAACTGAATATTTAGAATATGGTATATGTGATATAAAAAACGGTAAATTGAATTCTCCTATATTTGTGGAGCTCTTTCATCTGGAATTATGTTGTTTTCCAAGACTTCTTTTTTTGACAAGTGCCGAAATGACTTTTAGCGTATTTCTTAATGAGATATAGGTACACTACATGATGTAGCAATATGGTTACATACCGCTTGTTTTATCATATATTGAGGACAGGGCAAGGTTAACTGTATATGCACAAAATGTAATAACAACGCAGATTGCAATGACGCGAATTGTTACAAGGCTTTGTCACTTTTTATCATGTGATATGAATTTATAATAAAATTTAAAATAATTGCATTCGTTTTCATTTAAAACACCCTCTATGCTGTTTAGAATGTGTCTGAACACAACACGCACTTAATTGGGAACATAAATAGTTTATTTGTCCACAAAATCTCATAAATTCTTTTAATATTAGTTAACAACAAATAAAACGAAATCAATCTTTGAAATGCATCAATTTTATATGCCTTTCAAATTACTACTTTGTTTCGATGGAAGAGGGCCTTTTAATATATATGCAGTCCATGCAAGTACTATTTACAGTATTCACATATCGACGTATTGATTGTATCATTGTTTGATGTTAAATAAAGTTGGCAAGGAGTCGACGCTACCGTACGTACACCAATTTGTTACTATTCGTTTTAGCTGGAAACGTTCATATTCGGTATAGCGCCCTCTGTAGTCAACACCTATATCTGAAATTTGCGTCACCCAGCTGCCACACACTAAACCAGCAAAGGAATCGGACTCTGAGACGGACTACGACCTCCCTTCACTTAAATATGCACAGCGTCGTCTCAGAGAAAACACTAGTTAGTGGAGTCAATATATTGTATGTTACAGTTACACCACTGAAGGGAACGAGAAGCTCTTATCGTTTTGACCCATTCTAAACCACACATTTTTTGCGTATTAAATCCACACTTGTGTTTGTTTTATATCATTGTAAATGTAAACTTTCCTATTGATATGGAGATTGTAAATCACACTCACACGTATTCATATGGAGACGGTGTAAATCGTAGTTCATACAAAAGAAATCTTGTAAACTTACACCGTTTTTATGGAGATTGTAAACCGATCACACTTTGCAACTTCTAGAAGGTGCTAGGCCTGGGAATTCAGGACGCGATTTCTTCTACACTTTTATGAAAAGTTGCCGGAGAGCTTGCTTCAAATGGTGGGAAGGGGGTAGTATTACAAATCAGCCATCTTTTCGGGATTTGTTCTAAATGCAGTGCACATAACTTATTCACATGATATGTACATGTGCGTTTGTACGTAAATTACAGACTTCCGCAACAAATAAAGGCAGTGATCAAATAGTAAATTTTGAAAAAAGGGTATATAAAACTGTGCTCCAAACACTGCCAGCACCAATCACACATTTTTATTGCTGGAAAATTGACAAAACATTCTGATTTAAATATTTTTCTGTACTTTGGATAGCAATTAATTACTAATTATCATAATCAACTGATTGGCGATGAGGAAGAAAATGAGGGGTCATCAGATAATACTATTGTTATATAGGGTCAAATGGGAACATTTATTTCAAATGAAACATGCACACTGTTCTGATGAAGAAAGTAGACACAAGGAGTCCCTGGTTTACTTTTAATGGAAAAACTGTGCATGTAAAATTGGGTTGGTATATTTTATCATTCCAATATGCAAATTAACTTTTCAGTATTGTTTAAACCTACAAATTGGAGCAATGAGTGAATCAATTGTAAATAGATATTATTCAGCTTTGATAATACAGTAAAGGGCATAAAACTGTGGTCATTAAAAAACGTTTTATAAATATACATTTTTATAAAAAAAAAAATGGATGTTAGAATTCAAATTGACCAATCCATAAATTGTGACATCAATGTTAGATCTGATTACTATTAATGAGATACTTCAGCATGATCCAATCAGTATAATCATTTTAATATGTGGTTGGTTGCTATGTCATGTGAAGGCATGTGTGTGCATTATAGGCATATACAATGTTTAGCTTTCGAGCCAATCCCTATTGAATATTTGAATTTGAATGAATGCCGATAATCGGCTTTTACAATTTGTATAAATAAGTTTAGAAGTGAAGCCTTAGTTTTGTACCTATCAATGTATATACCATATTTACTCTATTAGTACTATCAATGTATATACCATATTTACTCTATTAGTAGCATATGTCAACAGTCACAAAAGTGTGTCTGTGGTTAAAAAACAAGTTGAGCTTACAAGAAATACAGCTTGTAGTTTCTGTGTGCTACTACTAATAGAACAAATACGATAGATGAAGTTGATTTGCACAAGAAAGTGCAAAAAAAAATATCAGCATAAGCAAAAATAAGAAATAATGTATATCGTTTATTTTTCAATGAAACAAGCCTTGAGGCAAGGTGTATATATAACATGTAAAACAAGGCAAAATTTGCAACTCTTTGTTACAATATTTTAAAAATAAATACGAGAAAGTAAATTAACTCCCAGGGCCTGTATTGGTGAAAGTTTTAGAAAACAAAAAAAGTTAAATATCCCACAATGCATTGTTTTTCTCATCCAGACATGTTTTTTTGTTAATTTGAAACCATGGTAACATATGCACTACAGATTTTTGACCTAAAAGTTAATTCATCAGATTCACTGAAAATTCATTTCAAGTTAACATATTAAAAAATGTTCATTTGAGAATTTTTAAATATTATCTTTTCTTTTATGCGCCCAAATAAGATGCACTCATTGCACACACAAAAATGGGTGTACATAAATATATATAGGAAATTATTATATGGTGGCCAACAAATTAAAAAAAATCAAATTACAGTGAAAACCACTGAGATTTAGTCAATTGCTGAGAGAGCTCTATCAGATTTCGTTTTCAGTTCTGACATAGAAATGATATAAATATGCTTGGAGTCTAATATCAACAATATTTTGAAACAAAGAATGTAATCTGGTGTTCTAATAAGTTACAACATCCAAAGCAGTCTCAATGACCTAATCTTGGTGGTTTTCACTGTAAACGGACATAATTTGCCAAAATAATGAATCGATGGTCATATTCACGTACTAAAAGAAATTCATATTACAAATAACATACAAAAATATACGATTATCACCCGCAGATCTGATTATGCTCATTAATTGGCGCCTACAAAAGGGTACCAAAAATGAAATCAAAATATTTCTTGAAAACTCATGCAGAAATTAATGGAAAAAAAAATGTTAAGTGAATTCCCCCGCAAAAAAACTCATTTTTGGTAAAAAAAAAAAAAAAAATGGACTGATATGTAGGTCATACAAACTGAGGGAATTTGGGTTTAAGAAATTTAGGAAAATATGAATATTTCTTTTTTTTTCCAAAATTACAAAAAAGATTATAATAACTTTACATATTGGTTACAGAAATATTGCTTTTTTTTCTGAATACACTTATGTACAAATTGATATGATGTAAAGAATTTACAGAAAGTTAGAAAACAGCCGATGATTATCTTGTGTGAATAATCCCAAAATCATACAAGATGGCAGTTTTTAAGGCAAGTGTACAATATTCAATCTGGCAACATCGTCGTTTCCAGACCGGTCACTTTTTTAAATAAAATTTCCCAGATAGCAGTATGCATTAGAGTTTCTGCCTTATGGATAATGCTGATTGGTAGAAGCACATCATATAGAAAGGTAATTACCATACCAACCATGATTGGTGGACATACATCATGTGATTACCATTTCAATTCTGATTGGTTAATGCAGTTACACATACTCCTCCAAGCTCGGATCTCTGTCAAGTTTCAATGCAATGCCCCCATCTTCCAATAACGCTATATCATGAAAAACCCCAACCAAGTTCTCAAAACTTGGACCCCAGTTCAAAAGATAGTCCCAACTAAAATGTCCATTGGGTGGTTTCATTGATACATGAGGAATGTCATCTTCTGACATTTGTAAAGTACTTAATGATCCACCAGCTGAATCAATCCCTTCATAGTTATAAGTCCTGCTAGTATCCGGAATATTTGGATCGTCTTCTTTGACCACAGCAAGCCGTTTAAAAATTATGTTACTGGGGTCAAATTCTGGAAACTTGAGTTTTTCTGGTCCGCACTCGTACTCCGAACATGTAAATGAGTCATTGCTCTCATCCGTAGAAGTTTCCGGAGCCTCCAAAAGATTTTGCGGATTGCGGGCAAAGGGTACTGATTGCACATTACGGTCACTACTACCCGATGATATCCCATCCAGTGTACTTGGTAAGCTGCCGGCATGTTCATTTGGCCTAGCAGAATTTAACATTGCCACCTCCTCCGCGGAGAGGCCTTTTGGTTGTTCGGCGTCTACGACGACCGTTAATGGGCTTTTTAACCTACTTTGAGGTCGACTATTTGGTAAATGCCCATTTGAAATTGGACTTTTAGTTCTTCTGGAATTCTCGCTTACAGTACTTGCATTACTGCGAAAACCAGGCTCGCTCCTCAACTCGCTCTGATTTATACTTTGTTCAGAGTTTGATCTACTATGAATTAATTCTTTTATTGGTGATGCACGACTCTGCATCATATGATGTGGACTAATCCTGGGGTGCGGTGACTGTCTGTGCATCTGCCCGTAATACTGTGAGGGCAGTCCTGGGCTATGTCGAAGCTGATTCATAGCATAGAGATTTGGTCGTACACCCCTACTATGTAAATGGTTTGGACTCATACGATGGGCATGATTGTTGCGTAATTTTCTATTCCCGTCCCTATGATAATCCCTATAATGGTGTGTGACGTCGATATCAGATGGCGCAATACTACTGGCATTCTCCAGGTCATAAAACTCATCATTTGTCGGTATTATTGATGATTGATCCTCCATAATGGTTGTGTCCTCGTCTACTTGACTGACAAGCACATTTTTATTCTGTTCAAGCGCCAGTATATCTGGTTGTGTTCCACTTATCCCTAATCTTGCCAGCTCGCTGTTTGTTGGAGAGCTTTTTTGGTCATTGTCAGTAGTGAATGCATCATTGCCAATGCCATCTACGTTTACAACGACAGGCGGTTGCTTCTGCTTTGACTTTTTCTTTCTACAATGGCAATAAATGATGACGAACACAATCACAGCGAGTATTAAGACAAATATGATGATAACAATAACGATGATAATTTCCAGTTGACTACTACCTTCTTCAGCAATATTTTTACAAAAATATGCACCATTTTCATTCACAATACATTCTTGGTCTTCTCCACAAGGATCCAAAGCACATACAAGAGCGGTGTCACATTGTGGCCCGGTGTAATTCTTGGGACAAATGCAGAGATAGCCGGCATCCTGCGGAATACACGTCCCGTTATTCAGACAGGGATCTGATTTACAAGCACCTTCTGGAATGCATGTGTAGCTCTCCCACTCATCAAGACAGAAGTGTTCCGCTGGACATGGATTTGATGCGCAGACATCGGTTCCCTCGCAGCCAATAGCTGAATCGGTACTGCCTTCCGAGGGCTCCGCAACCACAATTTCCGATTCGCCAATGAAAGGTATCAGGTTGTCATTCATTACAAAGCTGTCGATACAACCTTCGAAACCTGCATGAAGATACATAAATAATAAGTTCAATATTTAGGTTTTAATTATAAACACATTTTCTATAATTTCTTTATTTTCTATATAATATAGTTGACGTTTTTCTACAAACATAAACAAAATTTTGTCATAACTTTCTGAACCAACTGAACAGACAGAATACAATAGTGTATATAAATTCCAAACTTAATAGATTATGAACCTACAATTTTACAGTAATTGACAAAAAAACAAAAACAAAAATTATTCAATAAATATTCATGACGTAAAATCTGTACTGAATATATTAAGCACTTGCATCATAGGTGAACTCAGACAACATTTAGGATTCCCTTTCTGTACCACCAAAACAAACTAAGTGGCTCTGATCATATACATCAATGTCATGTAATTGTCAGAGATGTCGAAATTATGCATAAAAATTTAACGCTTACCCAGTATGTTTCTTTCGTCGTGGTTCAAAGGATCCTCCGTACCACCAAGAAAAATATTCTGCACTTCAACACTAACAAAATCATGAGGTGGAATATCAAAGGTGGTTGTTTTATCAATTCCATCTAGAGTAAGTGTGACTTCAAATCCAATCTTTGTGAGCGTTGCGTTGTGCCATTCTCCATCAGAAACACCAATCTCCAGTGAGATTGAACCCGTGCCTAAACTACCAGAACTAAATATGTACTGAAGTTTGTTCTTTACAACCTGAAAAAAAAAAAACAACATTTTTTTCATTAGTATGATTTGTTTTATATACCGTATTGCCTCTATTAGAAGAGCAACTCCAATAGTATCACATTAACAGTTATAAGTATTGTACACTGGATCATTAAAATATGATTGGTTATAACCGTAAACACAACTGTCATTTATGTAAGCACATACGTTACTAATAGAACTAATACAGTAATTTGTAGACTTCAGAAAGCTGTTGTTAGAATAAGAGAACGACCAAACATATAGCAGGCTTCATACCTCTACTAAATTTGTGAGTTTTTTAAATCTTACCTCCAATATGGTGTATCGATCAACTTCAGTATCAACCATGTAAAAGAGTAGTCCATCTTCATGGCGAGTGCGGAACGATAGAGATGCTGTCTGTGGGTCTGTGCTCCGCTTTTTACGTTTCAACTCTCCTTCCAGTAATTTCTGCCGGCGGAAACTGTTTTTAATGGTATATTTGATGTAGCTACCATCTCCAAATGTAAATGATGACATTTCTGTGGGAAAGCAGAAAAAATAGGTTAAAACATATTCTCAATTACTGATCAGATCTTCTACCATTAATATTCATGTTCATTGTATTTCTTTAAAAAATAATAGCACAAAGGCATATCTACATAATAACTTGGGACTATACCCAGGGAACCAATCATAAAGCCTGTTACAAACCTTCTTCACAATGATGACCCATGAATCCGTCTTTGCACGAGCACCGATACTTCCACCATTCGTCAATACATGTGCCGCCGTTCTGACATGGATTACTTTCGCACATATCCTCTTCACGAGGACACTGATGGCTCACGTCACTGCTGTCAAGGGGCTCGGCCAAATCAAGGAATATACCGTCGACGTAAACGTCTCGCATACATCCTACAAAGTCGTAGGTTGACACCTGTCCTGGACGTTCTGTGATAGAATCAATTGTCTTTATACCTCCAATATTCAGCGGTACTCCTTGAAGATCCAAATGCCTACAAGAAACAACGCATGTTAATAGATAAATATGTATGATATGTTGGTAATCACGTCCATGAGCAGCAATCACGTTATAATAATCCTGTAAAATTGTGAAATACACATGTTTACAGCATGGTTTCCAGAAATAAACAACCATTTTCATTATAAAACTAAAACTGATTTTTTCGTTGAATGTGACATCAGAATTACCAATGGATGTCTTGCAGTAGAAATAATGCACTAAAAACAGTTTTAGATGAGAGAACAAATTTGCTTCAAGAACTGTTGCTGGAAAATGTTTGTAATTACTGGCAACTAAACACAGGAAATGCAATATAAAAATCATGACTTAAAAGACATTCAACTCTTAGAAAACAGTCAAATTACAGCTATTGCACAATGTAATGCTTTGACCAAAGCACAGCAGGATTGGAATGCTTTCTATTTTGTTAAAGTGTGAAAAAATTAATCAAGCTTTCATCATAAAAAAAACACACTTGAAAAGCAAGATAGTACCCAGCCTTTAAAATCATCTAACAACAGGAATGTCCCCCTTCTACCCAACAAATAAAACGAACACAATCGAGTATGTTGTATAGTACCCCATACCACTCCAATCACAAAGCCTCTATTGTGCAATAAAAACGTCAGAATAAAGTATACATGTAGGCGGTGGTTGCAACAATTCAATGTGGCAGATATTACACAGACTATTGTGGCTATGATGTCAATACCCAGTTCGCCTTGAAGAACATCCACACCTGACAAGACTACACAGTTAGGCAAAAAACATCCCAGTTGCAAAGTTAGGCAGATATGGTGGATTGACTTACGGATAAGCTCCGACTCCCTGACTGCTAGAGAAACAGTAATCTGGTGGCAAACTTTCATCTGTACATCCATCAATTTTCAACACACCTCTCTGTAATTAAAAGTATAAAAAATAGATATTAAAATTCATATTTATCACTGCATTAATTATTACTATGAACAAAGCGTTTTAACCAGCACGAGTTTTGTTTTGTGTTGGTGTTGGCATTGATGATCCATGGATCAGGGTAATTTAATCTAACATTCAACTTTCCTGGCTAATAATCAGATGTTGTGACAGCCTGACATCCTATTTGTGTTCTGGGTTAAGAAAAATATTATTCTAAATCTCCAAACCATTTTTTTTTTTCATTTTGACTCGTTGAATGTTAAAATAACTACTGATTTTCTCAAGTAAATACAACTGAACCTTGACCTTTCTGGTCACTGTCCTTATTTGATGGGATGGAATAATCAAATACTGTGAAACCACCTGACCTAATATAATCCACACATCAAGGTCAAACTAGTCACAGAATGGAACACAATGGCATAGCTAATATATGTAATATATAAATGAAAAAAATGAAAAGACACCGACAGGATGACATTGCCATTTTTATTACTGTTACACTGCAGTGTTAAAAAAAATATACTGGTATTTCTTGTTTTTTTAATTAATTGTGACCTTCAATATCATTCATTTTCAAGTTTACTGCTTTGTTCGCTTCACCGACAAAACATTATTGTTTTTTGTGTGTGTGAATTTCCTGGTTTATTTATATAGTGCCAAAGCAAGTACTGTAAATCACTGTAATTTTCAGAGACAAATGTGAGTAAGTTGACTGTCGCGAGATTTATAGGGAAAATGAAAAAAGTTTGAAGAAATATATACCTATAAAACTATGGTTTCATTTGTGAACAAAAGAAATAATAAGCAAGTTGAAGTGCAATTACAAACATTGAATTATGCATGTAGAAGCACGCCTGAACAAAAAATTAGATTTTTTGTTTACTGGATCATTAAAATATGATTAATATTGACCATAGCCACACGACTGCTATGTATAGTGCATACAGTTATTGCAACAACAAGACTCTAAGTTACGTTATTTTCACTTCAGTGATTTTCTCGGATATTCTAAAAACATAGGTGTCTCAAAAGGTTGACGCCATACTTCTTTACAACTACTGGGATGCAGTATTAAAACATCAAATCAGTTTAGTCTTCGCTACTTTCATCATATAGCCCCCACACATTAACACTAACAAATTTGTCATAATGAGCATTACATCGAATTCCAACAACAGAAAAAGAGGTAAATATTTTGACAACTAAACTACAGCAAATCTTTCATCAGTCAGGTTTTTTAAGTCAGCTAGGGAAATTAGTCACCCCAATGAAACAGCAAGTAACTCATAAAGAACGTGTGCATGTCAAAGGAAGGTTCTGAGGTCGTGACCCCTACCTACACTACCTAACAGATCAAATCCTTTCCTGATTGCAGTGTTGATAGCAGAGCCCGAAAAATGTCAATACGCAACAAGAATGTAAATAAACCGAAATACCGAGAGCAGCTCAAAATAAAGAGATACGGTCATTGATTAGAGAAGAGGGCAATTCTTATGAAAATGTTGACAACATGAAGTTATATTCACACCTTTCTATTGTTATACAGATGAAAAGAAAAAGAACCTCATAAAACTGATGTTTGATATAAGTCAGAGCCCTAGTAACTAATATTTATTAAATAGTGTGATGGGAAACAAATATGCAGCCATATCACTCGGTGTCTTTTGTGATTTTGTTCCAACATAATACAGCTTTCATCGGACACATCAAAAATAAGATGTCAACCTCTTCCCAGGATAGCAATTACTGGTCGATATCATTTGTTGGGGGTGTTCTCAAATTGACAAAGTATGCCAAAAAACAGAAGGTATTTCATGAGGGATCATACCACCCCCTCCACTGTACACGAAATGTAGGATATTTTTGACAGACTGGCCCCCAAAAAATAGAAAAAAAATCATAATTTGTTGTTTTTAAAACTACGAAAATTATTAACGACAAAATAGCTCGTTTACCCTAAATGAAATACTGTTTGTTTTTTTTGGCAAACTTCGTCAATTCGAAAACAACTCTAATCAGTCACATATAGGTCTTCACGCAAGGTCCATTCACAACATGAATGTGAAGTGGGCCCCTAAAGAGAAATTTGAGTGCCATGGTCAACTGTACTCATGTCAGTATGTCAAATTTTCATGCAGCTCAAGGTATTGTATATTCGATGTTGAACTCAAGATTTACAGCTTGGCTCAAACATAATTACATGTATATTATTATACAATGTAGCATTTAACATGGACATGAGTTGTTAACTATTGACAATCATTTGTACCAAAAAAAATAAATGATTGAAAAAGTACCCAAAAAAATCATTAAAAATATTGCCAATCTGTGGTTTGGTACATTTTTTCCAGGTGACATTTCCAGGTGATAGCAAAAGATAGATATGGATGAAAGATCAAGTGATTGACAACAAAATGACTAAGTTGGTAAACAATATTTTTTTTATGGACATCGTAAAAGTCATAAGCTGAGTTCATCCAAGCTACTCAATGTCTGATTGTAATTTACACTGACATATTTACAGTGTTAACTAATAGGAAACCCAATAGTGTTATCTTGATGAAACAGTGGGAGACAAGAATCTGCCATAGTCACCATGGCAACAGCAACTTAGGGATTCAATTCCATTTCCTGCATGAACACATGTCTGGGCAAGAAACTGGACTACCATTCATATGATATACCAGTACAAATGTACCTAAATCAGGAAATGCATGATAAACATGGGAGAGAATTTATGCACAAATGTCCTAAATGCAGCATGGTTGCTGGGATGAGATTGAGATGCGATTAACTTGCTGTCAATCATAGCACAAAGTAGAGAGTACATGTATGTAATTAAACTAAAACTCATCTCTCCTAGACTCCAATGATTATTGAGGCATGTTAAATTTCGAGATAAATTGGTGTGAAATCCAAGCGAAAGATCAAAAGGATGAATAATTAATTCTCTGGATTTCATCATCAAAACTCAAATGTTGAGACATTTATGGCTGACTGGAAATTAGACAACTGATATCTGGAAAACACAATGATCAAGTATCTAATAATAGTTTACCAACACTTTCAAGGTAACTGCATTATTTATTCAGATCAGTTTGAATTCCATACAAATTCTTAGTTTGTTGGCATGAAGTGTGCTCTTAGCAGCTACCAGATCAGAGGTCAACTGTTTCCAGATGTGGATTTCACAGTCCCCAAACATACTTGAATCTGTGTTTGCTTTCATTTACAATTAACTTTCATTACTTTTGAATGTACTATGAAGTACTTGCAGATGACATGCAGTTCTAAACGTAGTGTTTTTCGAGGCGACAATCATCACGTTTTCGGAGCAATTCGTGTTCTCGATTGATGCACCTGTGTAATTAGTGGTCGTGACAGATTTGAAAAAAAATTCCATCAAAACTTCATTTCGTATTCAGTGCATATTTTGTTTTTTTAGTGCCTCAGTTCAAATCATGCATAAGTGTTAAATCGAGGTGTAATTCTTGACAAAAGCAAAGAAAATGAAGCAACAAAGAAGACCTTAGAAGAAAGCAGGATCCACATCATTACCGTATTAAAACAAAATTTCTTGAGGGCCCATGTAACTTTCCAGTTAAAATCTGGACTGTATTTGCTCTATTACCGGTAGTAACCTCTGTGCTTATCAAAATTACAGTTAAAATACATATACATATTTCAAAGTATACAACAAACGTAATTTTCAGTACACATGTGCTTCCTACTGGAAATGCACTTCTAATAGAGAAAATATGGTATATAAAACTCAATGAAAATTGAAAGAATAATCGAGAGTTGACGCATCACATACCAATAAAGACAATATTTCGTGACTCGGTCAAATACGTGCCTTTAACGAAGCATCAACGTAAACAATTTTGTTACAAAAATCAGAAACAGCAGTTAAAGTAATCTCAACAAGCGTTAGTGTAATTTCCTCAGTAAGAATTTACTGCCATGACAAATTAGTGCTAGTAAACACAGCATAACACCCCATGCATGCATGCATCTGTGTGGAGGCATCACTCAGTGAGTCATGCCTACCAGGCCCCCAGACATTCCAACTACTGTTATTGCAGGGGAAAGTAATTTGTCTTCCGCTGTCAGATTTGATTAAAACAAGACTTTAACAACTGATGCCGCCCGCACGGCCGCTTATATGAGATATACATGATGAAGGATGGAAACAATGTGGGGTATTTTTCATGAATATACTCGTGAGGTCAAGCGATTGTAATCCAAGACAAGTGGACAATCTTCTCCTACCTCTCAATACCCACAACAGTATTTTCCGGTTTGAGGAATGGAACTGTGAACACACAAATCATTCCTTTAAGGCAATTCAAAATGTTGCACTACTGAGCACGTTACTGCACGTCTGAGCAGTGCATTATGGGAGAGAATTTCAGACTATTCATGTTAAAAAGAAATGGAAACTCACTTATCAAATACAAATATTGATGCAAATTGATGCAATTTTCCATGACATTTCAACTCATATTATTCAAACATTTATTTGGAGACCCTGTTTTTGTTTTAGTTTCCAGCATCCCGATGATATTAACCAAGCATAATGAATGTTTAAAGAAGATTACATATACTCTTCAGCCTGAAATTCCTTAAAAAAAAACATTATCAAAATGCATTTATAAATCTGCAGATAAACATATACCAACAATTTCTTTCTGCAAGCAATGTGACCCTATGACCCCATGTGACTCTGAACAAAAACGTGAAAACTTGTCTCTCATGAAAGTTATGAGGTTTATGACATTTCATCTTGATATTCCACAGAATCTTGTATCCATAGCAACCTGTATCATTGCCTTCAATGATTTCCTCTCTGAGGTAAGTTGATAAGTGTTAACAATCATGTGTACAGTAAAAGACAGTGAACACTAGACCATTAATTACAAGCCACCCAAAACTTCAAAGACATCACATTTCAACTGAGGGATCACGTATCCATAGTAACCACACACAAGCTGGCAGGAGGGAAGCATTTACAAACAAACAAGACTTATTTTTAATCAAACAAATTCCAATCCATGTCAACTTCTAGTGCCTGTCCATCATGTGTGAAAATGGACAAAGTTGTCCATTCAAGTATTAGTCCAACAAGCCAGAAACAGAACAAAATGTCAACAAAGTACAATAATATATAAAGTTATTCCTTAAGTGACTGTCAATGATATTCTAGCTCACATGAATTTTATGAAATTTACTCTAACTTCTGCCTCCTCCCCCGAGTCCCCCGAGTTACTGGTGGCTTACACCAATCCCTGTGTGCTTGTTTTAAATATCTTTTAAAAAAAAATTTAATTAAAAACAATTTTTCTCTTGATAAATTATTTTCTCACAGTGTTGTATGAAGATAAATTTCAATATTTTTGATTTTGCTTTTACATTATAGTTTTTAAAATTACAGTGGTAGTAAACAGTTAGGTATATATGCAGTGAAACTTGTCTGAGTCAAACACCAAAGGGACAAAGAAATTGTTCAGTTTATAGAGGTCTCGCACTGAAACCTGTCTAAACTGAACACATAAGAGACTGAGTTAATTGTTCAGTTTACAGAGGTGTTCAGTTTATAGAGTTCTTAAAGTGAAACCTGTCTAAACTGAACACAAGACAGATTGAGTAAATTGTTCAGTTTACAGAGGTGTTCAGTTTATAGAGTTCTTAAAGTGAAACCTGTCTAAACTGAACACAAGACAGATTGAGTAAATTGTTCAGTTTACAGAGGTGTTCAGTTTATAGAGTTCTTAAAGTGAAACCTGTCTAAACTGAACACAAGACAGATTGAGTAAATTGTTCAGTTTACAGAGGTGTTCAGTTTATAGAGTTCTTACAGTGAAACCTGTCTAAACTGAACACATATGAGACTGAGTAAATTGTTCAGTTTACAGAGGTGTTCAGCTTATAGAGGTCTTACACTGAAACCTGTATAAACTGAACACATAAGAGACTAAGTAAATTGTTCAGTTTACAGAGATGTTCAGTTTATAAAGATCTTACAGTGAAACCTGTCTAAAGTGGACACCAAAGAAACAGTTTACAGGGATATTTTGATGTAAAAATCTAGTAGATGGATTGCAAAATGTGTTTGGTTTAGACAGGCAAGCGTAGGTTTAATTTTTTTTTATGCCAAAGTCTACTTTTGTCAGTAAGATAATTTTTTTCCAGATTTTTTTTTCAAACATTTTGAGCGATATGATAGAAAATTATTATGTCAACAAAGAAAGAATGGAAAATACATGAATGTGTCAAAAATTATGCACCAAAATGGAGTTAACATTATTATATTAATATCACAGTATCTCTACATGTAAACAAATATTTAATTACTAGTGCCTCTTGCACATTTCACAGAATGAAATAAAAAAGAATAAGAATTATATTCTTACCAGTCTTTCTCTTGTTGCTATTATTTCATGCCATTCCCCGTCTGATACGATTTTGTCCGTATGAACACGGGTCGTGCCATCCCCCATGTTGTATGAAAACCACACCTTACCATCGATGACCTCGATGGCGATGAATTCCGATTTATCTCCAACGTTCGTGTCATGATTGTACAGCAGAAGTGTATTCTCGAATGTTGTCGCAAACTGCATAGTAATCCAATTGGTAGCACCGCCGAGAGATTCATATTGGGCGTAAGACATTGGAAGAAAACTGTAGCTGGAGAATTCACATCGGTCACCTCTTTCACCGAAGTTACATTCACATGTGAAACCATTATCATCTGGCACACATTCGCCTTCGTTGAAGCATGGTGGTGGAGTGCAAGGATCCATTTCAATATCGCAATCGGGTCCCGTATATCCAGCGACACAGACGCAGACATAGCCATTATCGTGATTATGACACGTTCCACCATTTTTACATGGATCACTTTCACATTCATCAACAACAATATCACACAGATCACCAGCAAACCCTGGCGCACACTCGCACCAATAGAATACAAGCGAGTCTTTATGGCATGTTCCGCCATTAAGGCACGGGTTACTCTCGCACAGATTCGGTTCTCTCTCACATCGTTCACCGAAATACGGATCTTTGCATACACATACGAAAACACGTTGACTCTGAGATGATCCAAAGATGATCGGATTGCTGTCCGTAATGATATAATTATCGTACACTTCCACGTGATCAGTGCACTCTCCATTGTTGATGCACGGTTGGTTTTCACACGGGGTGTAATCAATTTTGATGATCTCGACTCCTGAATCCTGCTCAATGTGGTCCTCATGGTTATTGAAGAAGCTTGCCAAATCAGAGCGTGTGTAGTATACGTCTTGATGGCCTCCCAGTCTAATGGCAACTAACAAGTCCATATTTTCTTCAACGTCGTATAAATCAATAATCATGAATGTCTCCCCCGAACTCAACTCATCTGATACAGACGTGTAAAAAAGATTAAAATGACTAGTGAGAAACGTCACTGCATCTATGTTCCCCAGAACCAGTGTCATGCTGTTGTTCAGGGAGTTGTTACTGAAGGCATGGTAGTCAACAATGAAGTTCGAATACACAGAAGGATGGATGGTATCACTACCGCTGATATTTAGAACATAAGAAGCGATACCACTGTGCACGGATGAATGAAGCTCGCAACCTGGATAAATGCTGAACATGGGATCTGCAGTGACAATTTCACACTCAAAGACGTCACCCACGTCAGGATCAAGAGGGTGAGCTATACCAATCAACCCACCCGGGAACACACCTTGAAAAGCGTTGACATAGATATCAGCTGATCTGGAACTAGACGGATTGTCATTGGTGTCAAGAATCATGATGTGAATCCTCGTAGTGGACGTCATCTGTGGCACGCCTGAATCTCTGCTTTCAATAGGCAGGTAGTAATCACTTTGATCTTCACGATTTAACGATGCTTTGGTTGTGATTAATCCTGTAGACTGATGAACACTGAATTGTTCGCTGTCATCCGATGGCAATAGGTAATATGAAAATGGTGCTCCATTGACTGGTGTATCAGGATCGTAAGCACTCAGAATCATAACAGAGGTACCTGGGCTTTGATTCTCATAAACGCTTCCTACAGTGTCTTCAGGGTAGAACATTGGACCATTGTCGTTGACATCATCTATACTTATCTCAACCTCAGCATAACCAGTTTGAGGCGGATTTCCTCCATCCACAGCAGCTACTGTCAAATTATAAAGTTGTATCTCTTCACGGTCCAAAACCGCAGAAGTACTGATCACACCAGTTTGTTGATCAATGGCGAAGGCATTATTGATATTACCACCAACAATTTCATAAGAGAATAGGTTATCAGGTTCATTGAGGTCATAATCTTCTGCACTGACAGTCAACACAGAAACACCAATGGATGAGTTTTCGCGTGTATTCCCGACATAAGAATTCGGCATAAAAACAGGGGGATCATTAGCGTCAGTGATGTTGATACGAACCACTGCCTCGTCAATATCATCACCATTAATCACGCCACCATTTTTCGCCAATGTTAAAAGAATCACCGTGTCTTGACTTTCACGATCTAAAGTACCATGTGCATAAGATACGTGGATCGCTCCAGTTTCACCATCAATTGCAAAACCTTCGTAAGTTCTTCCGCCGACAAGGACATACCTGATTTGTCCATCTATCCCATGATCCTTGTCTCTAGCAGCTACTATGCCGACTAGCTGACCATCATCAGCGTTCTCTGGAACACTGTAAGTGTAGTAGTGTTTGATGTATTCTGGGTAATATTCGTTCATGCCAGTAATGTGCACAATCACTCGAGTGTCATCATACATAGACGGTTCTTCATTCTCAGCACGCACGGTTAATTCGTACGATTTCTTCTCGTCTTCGTAATTCAGATGACTTTGAGAGAAAATGGTTCCATTTTGACGGTTTATGACAAAATAATACTGTCCGTCACCACCGATAATTTTGTAGACAATAACAGCATTTGACGTTGAGTCAGCATCTGTGGCTACGCAAGTGACAACACTTGTGCCGCTCGGTGAGTTCTCTGGAATAGTGGGGTTGTATTCTTGTGACTCAAACTCGGGAGAATTATCGTTAACATCAATAAGGACCACATCAACTCGTGCAAAGCTTTCTAAACTTATGACACCAAGATCACGAGCACTTACGTTCAAAATGTGTGTGTCTTGGGCTTCAAAGTCTAGCTCCTCTGCAACAGTGATGACCCCATTTTCAGAACCGATTGCAAAGAGGCCATCATCATTTCCAGATGCAAAAGAGTACCTGATGTCGCCGTTCTTCCCCACGTCATTATCTGTAGCCAGAACTGTTAGAATAGATGAACCAATTTGAGCATTCTCAAATACAGTTTCACTGTATGGGTCACCGATGAAATCAGGCGCATGCTGATTTACTTCAGTGACTTGTATTTTGACTAGAGTTTCATCAGATAGTGGTGGGTTTCCTTGATCACTGGCACGTACATTCAGATGAAACAGTTGGTAAACATTTGACAGGAGAGATGACTTTACAGTTATCCAACCTGTAAGTGACTCAATATCAAATTTATCAGTTCCATTGCCACCCACGATGCTGTACTGCACAACTGCATTTATACCTTTATCATATTCATCCACAGCGCTAACCTGCACAACTTTGGAGTTTACCGGAGCATCCCGTGTTACCCCGGCGATGTACAGATCCTCAACAAATACTGGCGCATATTCATTAGCATCTAAAATTGTAACAGAAACTCTAGCTTCACCCCACAACGTCGGTAGCCCATTATCGATGGCAAACACAGAGAAATTGTAGAGATTTGGGTCAACATTAGAGTCAGGATCGGGAGTTTGATATTCAATCTGTTGTTTGTAAATAACCTCACCAGTCTCAGAATTAACGTCAAAATAGTCACTCCATGTTTTCATTGAGTATGAAATTTCTGAGTTTATGGTGCCTTCTTTGTCGGCGTCACTGGCTGTTAGCTTCATTACTAAACTGCCTTCTGGAATACCTTCAGGCCGCTCAGTTATATATACATCTGGATCAAATACCGGAGCATGGTCATTGATGTCCAGTATGTCCACCTGGATGGTAGTTTGCTTGGGGTAAGATCCATCCAAATTTGAAGCCACTACGTTAACATCATAATGTTCATGTTCTTCACGGTCAATGTCACCAGCGACAGTGACGACACCAGTCAAATTGTCAATTGCAAAAAAAGGATTATCTGCAAGGTCATAAAGTGTTATTGCATTGTCGGCTTCATCCGGATCATGTGTAATAACACGTAATACATAAGTACCGACTTCAGAGTGTTCTGGTACACTGCCGACTGGAGTTCTGGTGAATGCAGGCCCATTGTCATTAACATCAAGCACTTTCACTTCAACAGTAGTGGTGCCTGTTAGTGAAGGTGTTCCTTGATCCACGGCATGGATCGTTAGTGTGTAAAAAGCATTAGTTTCACGATCCAGAACTTTAGTTGTGGTCAGCTCACCCGTCTGGCTATCAATAGCAAAGTCATCAGTAGCTGATTGAAGTAAGTACAGAACTTGTCCATTGCTACCCGAATCGTGATCGATGGCAGAGACAGTTACTACGCTGGTACCCGAGTCTTCCCCTTCTAGGACAGATGCAAAATAAACACGCTCAGTGAAAACAGGTGCATTGTCATTGACATCTGTTACATGAACAGTACATGAAATGTAACTAGAATGATCATCATCCTTCGCTTCAATCCAAAGTTGGTAGTAACTCATCACCTCATAATCCAGGGGTTTTTCAATCGTTACTTCCCCTCTATTGCGATCAACATGAAATGTTTCTTGAAAGTTACCAGCAGCCATGTAATATTTCACCACTCCATTAGAAGATGTGGCTCTGACTGACGTTACCACGTTATCGTTAGGATCATATGCATCCTCACTATAAAAATGAGAAGTGGGCGATGTGCTGAAGACTGGAAAGGAATCTGAACTGAACGTCACCGTCAGATTGGTCTTGATGGAATAAGATCCAGGTCCCCCATCTCGTGCTGTAATCTCTACCCAGTAGTCATCACCAGCATCCAGACTGCTGGAGACTTGGACAACACCATTACGCGATCCAATTTTAAACTTGCTCTGCGGGTTGGATTTAGAGATTGCATAATGGATCAAGCCATTGGTTCCAATGTCAGCATCATTGGTACTCGCTGCATAGATATATGTATCTGCTACAGCACCTACAATACAAAATGTATTAGTATTAATAACAAGTGAAAACAAGTAAGATTTTTTGTTACTTTTAAGGCACAAGCCTTGTTGCTTATAAAAATAAATTCTTCACGATATTCAAATCAAATTCAAGTACTCTTAGGGCAAAGATGTAATAATTACAATATAAGCTAGTTATTAGTAACACTTAGCAATAAGGCTTGTCTTCAGTAATCTCACACATAGGACACAGACAAATCATTGCATGGTGTTAAAATTGGAATGCTTTCAACCTACCTGTTAAACCAGTATAATCCTCTACTTCTTTGATTACAGCATAATAAGGCAAGTCTTCGAAGGCCGGGTCATTGTCGTTGATGTCAACCACTGTCACATATACTGTAGCTGTACTGGATAAGATGTCAGGCGAATTCACATTGACTTTATCGGTCGCGATCACCTCCAAGACATAAATTGCATTCTCTTCTCGGTTCAGTACAGCATTAGTCCGAATCTCTCCAGTCAATGGGTTGATAGTGAATTTATCATTGGTTATATGATATCTAGAATTAGAACACAGTTTAAAATATAAAAGATATCTAACATATGATTGGTTGAATCCCATCATGTGATTAACATTGCAGATCATTTGATATACCAATGGGCTTTGTTTGTCTTAGATTATAAAAGTTCCAATGGCCCCAATATTTATGGTGGCAATTATAACTGATAATTATTATGTGTAGTCGATTGGATCAAAGAACAGAATGGAATATATACTACGCACAAAATTGTAATTCTTCACTTGTCAATTTCTTGTGAAAGCTACTTCTCATCCACATTTATTTTTAAAATTATAATATTCTGTTGAATAAAAAAAATAACCAGTGACTTACTTTATGTGAGCATTCACCCCTTCATCTGCATCCCTTGCAGTAACCGTGGTAACAGTCGTATTTATTGGTTGTTCTTCAAGAACTGATGCAGAGCTGTTTGTTACAATAAATATCGGTGGATTGTCATTGACATCACCGACTTGTATTTCCAACAAAGCGCTACTTGTAAGTGATGGATTTCCTGAATAAAAAGTGAGATGAGGAAATGTTGTGGTTATTGACGTTAATTGATCAAGGCATATTCACATATTATTTGTGTATGATAAAAACAAGTTTTTGAATCAAAATAGACATGAATGTGTTTTATATTACCATCACCAAAAAGTAAATTACAAAAAAGCTTACCATTGTCAGATACTTGAATGTTGAGATGGTATTCAGCAATAGTCTCGCGATCGAGGACTTCATTGACGTACACATTACCAGATGTGTCAATAGTAAATAATCCTTCTTGCCCTGCGCTGACTTGTAGAATCTCAAATACCATTTCTCCATTACTGTCTTCATCAGGATCACTAGCCGCACAGGTGGTAACAAGTGCTGGAACCTGGTTGTTTTCGTTGATGCTTGCCTCCATGTTTTGACTTTCAAACTGAGGTATGTTGTCATTGATATCATTTAATGTGATGGTCACTGTTGCTGTAGACACCAGTGGCACCATGCCTTTGTCCTGGGCAGTCACACTCAGGGTGTATTCATAGCGCCCTTCGCGGTCCAGTATGTTCTCACTCGCGAGAACACCTGTGTGAGTGTCGATACTGAAGTCATTGTTGTAATTCCCATTAGTGATATGATATTCAATTATGGCGTTATTGCCCACATCTGCATCGGTGGCGACAACTTGGAAAAATTCCTTCCCAGTAGGCATATTCTCCATAACCTCAACCTTGTAAGATTCAGAACTAAATGCTGGAGCGTTGTCGTTGACATCCTGAATAATAACAGTTATCTGCATGGTAGATGTCCGCCGGGGTACACCTTTGTCCCACGCATAAACAGTCAAAACATACTGTGCATCAGTTTCTCGATCAAGAACCCCATCGTCAGAAACTACAATCACGTCGTCTGAGGTCAAGAAGAACTCACTCATTGATTCCATGGAGTAATCAACATCACCATTATCACCTGCATCTGCATCCGTAGCAACCAGTTCAACAACTGTGGTGTAAGCCCCAGCATCTTCAGACACTGTTGTGAGGTTTGTATTCTGGAACTCTGGAGCATTATCATTGACGTCTCCTATCACTATGGAAACCCGCGCAGTTGCAGTTTGTGGTGTTCCTTCTAACGGCTGATCAGATGCTGTAATATCCAGACTGTAATACTCTTTAAGCTCTCTGTCTAGTTCTTTAGCCGTTACTATGGTACCATCTTCAAGTATTTGAAATTCCTCACCATCATCTCCTGCTGTGATGGAATAAGAAATTGCACCATTTGGTCCTAGTGAGAGAGAAAAAACAATTAAAGTATGTTAATTAGCAAATATCTATTTTCAGTATTTCAGTTCAGTGTTTATTGAAATGGGTTGTTTAGCTAAATTAACAGCAGTGATCTCTAATAAAATACCTCAATCTAGGCCATGTACTGTAAAAGGGTTTATTATTCACTGGGTTTTAAGTTTGTTTATTTCGCTGACTGCAAAATGTGCTAAATTAAAACCCAGTGAATATGTAAAATTTAGCATAAAACACATTATCTAAATGATAAACCGTGAATTTAAAACCCAATGAATATGCCTGAAATGCTAAATCAGTGAAATTTAAACCCAGTGAAAATTAGTCGTTTCACAGTATTTAAGGTTTTGGATTTTTTTTTGTAAAAATAATTGACAAATTTCCAATTAGTAGCTAAACCCCCCTTACTCCCATGATCTTTAGGGGGTTATACAAATGGCATGTTGATTAGTCATGTTGTTATTGTTATGCAACAAATGTACAACTCCAAGTAATTAGTTCAAAGGTAACAGAACTAAGAATATTTCCACTGTACGAGTTTTTACCTGCATCAGCATCAGTAGCTGTTACCTTGACGACACTATAACCAACATCTACATCTTCTATAACATGAGCATCGTAGGACGATGGGTCAAATATCGGTACATTGTCATTCACATCTGTAGTACTAAAATAGCATGATACTGAACTTGATAATGAAGGAGTGCCGCCATCAGATGCTTCTACCACTATCAAATAATATTGTACCTAGAATGGGGGAGAGAGAGAGAAACATGTTTATTTTAATATCGCAATCACCAAGTGAAAGATGTAAATACATGTTCCAGTATCATGACTAAGAAAACGTGTGTGGTGTACGTGTAATGATAAGATAACAATCAGCGGACAAGATTCGAATTTTGAGGTAAGGCTTGTTATGAGATTGAAAACTTGATGTACCGCTCTTCTCAATGTGTTTCAAATACCAGAATCAAAGATTATTTGGTATTTCGAAATGAGCCCCAGTGTACAACCCTGAGTGAACACCTGGACCTGGACACCAAAGGAATGAGGCAAACATTTTGTATGGGTAGGTAGATTAAGTGTATAGCAGAAAGGTGTTTGGTTAAGATGTGTTACACTAGCACCAGTTAACACTGCTGTATTGACAATATTATAGTGGCACAGAACCCAGATGTGCATCAGCCAAAACTCTGGTATTATTATTGATAATAATTTTAATTAATTGTATATTAATATTATTAATTATTGTTGAATAGTTTTCACACCCAAACTGTTACACATGGGGTAATGACAAAATGAAATTTGATTACATCAAATTCCTCACCTCTTCAAAATCTAATTTTTTGTCCAGAGTGAAAATGCCACTGTATGAGTCGAGAGAAAATCTATCCTGTCCCCAGTCTTCTAGAATGGAATATGTCACATTCCCGTTGCTGCCTTCATCTGGATCAATGGCGATTACTTCTCCAACCGATGTTCCGATCGTTTCACTTTCAGACACAACAAACGCATACACAGATTTACTGAACTCGGGTGGGTTGTCGTTAGCATCTAATAAATAAATATCCAAAGTCGTTATTGACGACAAGTCACCATCCGACGCACTAATCGCGAGTGTGTAACTTGGTGTTGTCTCACGATCAAGCTCATCCATGGTACGGATTTGACCAGTTTGCTCATTAATGTAAAACTTTCCATCATTCCCACTAACAATCCTATACGCGATTTGGGTGTCAATGCCTTCATCTGCATCTGTGGCTGTAACCGTGGTAACTACAGTGTTCGTATTTACATCTTCTAGAATGTTCACACTGTACGAGGTTAGATCGAATCTTGGGGGATTATCGTTTTCGTCTAATAGACTAACATGAATCTGTGAAAAAATAAATAAAAACACATTTAGTTTTATTCATAAATTCATATTCATTTATAGAGCCAGTAAGAGGAAACACAGTAATGAGGATGGTTACCATGACAACAAGAACATAAACCAAGATAAAGAATTACCGGCTCTTGATATTGCTCTCAAAAATAAAAATTAAGAAGCAATCGGATTCAACCGCTCTTCACAAACAATCTCAGAGTAATCAATTCACACAACTTTTTGTTTGCATAACAGTAACAAATGTCATTGGATGAGAGTGGTCATATGACACATATGTCATCACAAGTACATGCACAACTTCAGAGGGATGTCAGTTTCTATTATCCTGCTTTTTAATGAGTGTCACTGGGGTATATACGATAAGAGTTATTTATTGCATTTCTCACAGTGTCTCTACACTCTATCTAATATCATGAGCTCCCTGGCATTTGTATCTTTCATCAATACGCAATTTCCACCCCAACTAAACAAAGGTGGCCTTGAAATGCTTTGATGTTCTGCCACTTTCCAGTGAAACAACATACTATGTAGTAGAGGACAAGTCACCAGTTCTGCTTGGGTTCTAATGTAATATGCCAGACTGCCTCCCAGACAATGACCTTATGCATCCTTTATATTTTAAAGAGCACAAATATTATAGGATGTCGGGACGGCAAATCTTTCCAATGAACTTAAACTAAAGCATGCCACGGTGAGAGACTTTCAATGCTCTCTTACCCTCACCCACGAAGAGGATTTAATTTTCCCACCACAGCACCCATGCCTCAATGACAATCTATTGTTTGGGTTTGTTATCAACACCGGTCATTATGCGAACAGTTCTATACAAAAAAAATCAGACCATACTGGCTAAAGCTATGCAATGTGGCATGAGTTTTAATAATCTGCAAAGCAATCATCATATCCCCCATGAATTTATGAAGACATACCATGTCTATGACAGTCATCAGCTGTGTACATTTCTCAGTAACACAAAACCAGTAATGAACAAAGTGTTGACAATGTACATTTCCATTTACAAATGACCACAAGATTATATACCTCACACAGAACAGCGGATGTCAGCTACAACAAACCGACTTATCCGATTCCAACAAATTTTTCTTTTTTTACATCACAAGGATTAAGCAACATAAAACAAAATCCTTTTTCCTTTTTTTAATGAAAAGACGCAGAATGAGTCACCACAAAGTAATTTCAGATACAGTCATTGTTATTAAATCCATAGACGCTATAATCAAGACGTGGAAACAATACAATTAGTGAATTTTCTTGCTCAATAAGAAAGGTCACTTCTTTGTTGAATATACTTGAACAAAGTTTTGTTCTTTTCTGGAGAAAGATACTGTTGATTAAATATTCTCCACATACGTTTGTGCATTGGAGGGGAAAGTAACTTGAGTCCTCGAAATAAACTAATAGCATATCCCCCACTCCTAGTTCTGTTCAATTTGTAAATTGATTAGTACTGACATGTACAAGGCTAGAAATATGTGTGAAGATGATGGCTGTAATTTAATTAAACTATTGGTATAAGTAGAAATGCCATTCCTGGCTACTGGGTAAAAACTACAAAAGTGACCTGTGACATGGAAAAACACCATCATGGATTGCCAATACACCTAAAAAATTCCACTTCCAAGTGACTCTGTTCAGGTGCGAATTGGTGCTTTTCTCTGACTGTGTACATGCCAACAAAGTAAAAAACAGGATAGCTTAGTGTGTATTGTTGATATGTAATACTAATATGAACTCAACACTCAAAACCCAGCGAAGCCTGGGAAGTTAGCAGGAACACATCTGCTCTCTAGCGTGCAGAGAATAAATAGTCCATTGTGTAACAATTCTGTTTTACTTTACTTTTTATTTAAAAATAATTTTACTAGAGTGTACTAGATTTCTATGCTACTTTCCTATAATACTGAGATCATATACCTTGCTTGAAAACATCTAACAATAGGCGATACAACAGAAACCGAATATGCATGGTTGCCACACTGTTGAAATCAAAATGGCCGCCAGCCAATAGGGGCCATCCGAGCAAGGCAATGACCCCACCAATTGCAATGTGCATTAATTCTGGTTAAATGAACAAACTATGGAGCTATACATGTACAAGGTAAAGACTGCACAGTGAACACAAAACCTACAGGAAAAATGGCAAGAAGTTCTAGGTGAATAAAACAATGAGAAATTGAAGCAAGAAATTCTGGGTGAATAAAACAAATCAATGTTGAGACTCGAGTCATGCGAAAAGCTGGCCAACTTGATTTGAATCACAAATCATGACACTTGACCAAGCAGGATTTCCAGCTGTGACAGTGACACAGACTGCTGTTATTTGTCACAACCAATAGAAAGGTTACATCAATCAATCAACCCCCTAGCAATAATGACACTAAACTTCACTGTTACCAATAACCTATAAGTTGAAATCAGTGGGGGTGGCAATGACAGGTGGAATGTATTTCTCACCTGCATGCTGGTGAACCTGTACAATTGTAAGGCATCCGCTTTCACAAAACAATGAATACTGGTATTTATTTATGATTTGGGAGGGGTTGTAGCTGGTGCGTTTTATGGTTTGCGGAAATACTTCAGCCACATTGTTAAAACATGAATTTGAACCTTTTTATAATTTGAAGAAATCTAAAGTGAAAGTCAAAATGAAAAAATTAATCATACAAAATTTGACACAATACCTGGGAATACATAGTAATGACAAAAATGCAATTAATCCTTCCTCTCCTGGTTCCCGTGGGAACAACCAAATAGTTTCATTGGGGACAAAATAAAAAGCACAAGGAAGTAGCAAATTCCACACAACCATTTGACAAAGATTTACTATTACTAAATTAAATATTTATCATGAAACAATCAATAAAGGGAGGGACAACCACATGCCTATTCTCTGTAATAAGGTATTATGACACACCAGAGTCACAGCTGATGTCTTGTTCTGCAGTGAGGGAATTTTATAATCACAATGGCTTTACATTGGTTAAATATAACTGTACTCTCAGTTCTCTGTGTATTAATAATAATGAAAAATATAGGTATGATGTTAATACTTTGTGAGGTGTAATAATCTCTCTGTCGGTTGTAGCTTTCATCATCAGTTGCCCTGACAACAGATATGATCCTAAACCAAACACTACATATCCAAATGAATCACTTTCCAATGAGATACTCTCAACCAATGGTAGATTGTGATAACCAACACAATGTCACCAGGCGTATTACACATTAAGCTGATTTACCTGTTGCTTAGGAAACAGCTAATATTTGGGGTTATTGACCTGGTAATCATTTTTCACTCCCAGAACAATAATTATATATACACACTAATTAAAAGATCTATATCAACAAACAATGAAATACGTAGAGCCAAAAAGTGGAGTCGGATTGCTCTTATCGTATTTATGTATCTCAATACCAGCAAATGTGATGAATTATTATAATTCCTATTTGTCAATCGGATAAGCTTTTAAATATTTTTCCATGATTATTAAACATTGTATTTAAAGTTCATGATTCGGTACTATATTTTTTTTATATTTTATATTAAAAAGATGTTCATTGGTTCCACTGGTGGGGTGTGTACAATTTCAAGGCTTAGGGCAATGAACTACAGACGTACATTTACCTGGTACAAGAAAATCAAAAATTGGGTTGCATATATTATGGGATGTGATGTATAGCTCAGTGTAAAACTCACGAATACGCTCATGTGTCTAACTGGTTCACACAAGGCACGACCGTGGTCTACGTGCGAAACTGCATATCAAAACCAGTCAGGGGTGTTCAGACGAGGTACAACAGCAGATAAATAAACACACACAACAAAAAGAAGTGAAATGAGCAACTAGTTGACGTAGGGATAGAGACAGAAGCGCTTCCCCAACTGATCCATGCAACATACTTCATCTCCAACTACAAGAGAAACCAATCAATCTAGGGCCTATACCAGACATACAAATGACTACTTGGGTGCAACAATGCGTTGAAAACACGCCCATTTTCACAGCTACATTAAGTGACCAGTTTAATTGCGTACCGATGGCAAGTGGTGATCATTTCACACGTTTCACAACTCACTGGACTTGCTCTTTAAGACACAAAATATTTCAGAGCCAACAATTTTCTTCCGATTTCACGATTAAATATATAATGTTGTATGAAAAAAGTTTAAGACTGCAGTAGTTGAATTTAGCAGAATTTTTTTTGAGCACATGATGGTTTCAGGAAGTTTAGTTAGAACATAAGAACTTATCCATGCATACGCATTTAGCACATCTATGGAAGAGAAGAAAACAACAACTTTGGTGGCCAATTAAACACAGACAAATCTTTTTTTATTAAAAGCGAATGCATTTCAACATTCTGTTGGTTATTTAAAGCGAAGAATGTCAACCAATAAGAGAGAAGAATAGTGTAATGAAAGCTGTATTGTGAAATGCTCCGATCTAGAAGGTTTTGACAACACCAAAATGTATTGTAACATGGCTCAGAGGGGTGTTCAGTTTACCATCCATGTACAATACATTGGGTGGAGGATGCCATTGTTGGATCTATACTGACAACTCTTACAATATTAACTTATGAATAGTATACCCATAGAAAACATGGTTTTGATACATCGAGGCGGGACAGGTATTTATACTTGAATACAATACCGTGTTAATCGTGTACAAACGTAGAGAACACACAAATACATGGTTTTTTTTACTTTTATTTGTTGAACGTTTCAGGAACTATACAGACGTGCAATGACCGGTCAGGACATTGAATTTGTAGGATAAAACCACTTTGTCTGGAGATTGGGGTTCTACGAACGCTGAAGTTGAGAAAAAGACTACGTGAGGACGAGCACAGAATGTTTTGGTGGACGAGATAGATATACAATTGTATTTTATTTATTTGTTGTACCTAGAGCATGCAGTTACATCAATCAACAGTTAAAAATAATATATTGCTCACTGGAACAA